TTCTTCCCCCGCCCCCGTGGGCGTCTCCGAAATTGAACAAAAACGACAATATCGCATTATAATGTACGAGTGCGCCCCGCTCGTCGCGCCCGGACTCCGGGGCGAGCGAACGACAGACGACGCGTCCACGCGCATATACGCGTGTACACGTAAATAACACAGACAATCGATCGGTCTCACTGCTTTCGTTTGTTTTTTTTCATATTTTTCGATGCGCGCGTGGCCTCCCGATAATTCCTCCCGGAGACACGGGCGAAAATTTAAAAAAAAACCCGATAAAGCGTTCCGCCTCGCCGTGTCGCCGCCACACTGCCGCCGCGACAGCGCACGGGCCGGAGTGTTTCACGGTTGACGCGCGTTCACGAAACCCCGTCGACGACTCGCGCGGCTCGTCTCGGCCTTCCCGGGTTTTCTGCAAAGAGGACGAAAACGGCCAGTCGAACGCGGACAATAATCTTAAACGAAAATCGAACCCGTACACGGACCGCGAGCTATGCCGGCCGTCCGTCATACGGAATCAGACGCCTACGCATCGTGATGATTGAACCGATTTCGGTTGGCCTCTCGGCTTGGCAAAGCCATAGTGAAACAGCTTGTAGCCGAAACGCGGTGGTTGGGTTAATTTATTACGAATTAACGCGGGTGGTGTTCCGTTTTTGCCGGGGTTCTCCGGACGTCAATTTACCCGCGGCCCTGCCCGCAAGCGGGGCTAAAATCGATTTACGGTATAATTTAATTTTTTTTTTTTCCTGTCGGAGTTCCGTCTAGCGTAATCGGTTCCCTTTCATTCGTCGGTCGCGCGTGTATTGTTTTTAAAAATATCAGTTTACGCGCCTACAGCGTACCCAGTCGCGCCGTGTTAGCGCGTTATAAGTGTACAAGTGCGCGTATTTACATCGTCTAATTTTTTCGTCTAATAATCGACTCGCGAGCGCCGTACACATTGTGCTTCCCCGGGACCGAAAGACGCGGATAGTATCGATTCATCGATTCCCGGGCAGTGGGGAGCGGGGGTGTGGGTGGTGGGGGGTAATACGTTTACGTTTCTAAACGTTCGGCCCGTAAGTACGCGTATAGTGTGCGTACGTTTTTTTTTTTTTTTTTGCTAGAATCCCGTCGTGTCGTTCGTGTTCTTGTCGTGTCATTTGACCGCGCGGTGTTGTTTTCGCGCCGTGTATATTTCGGCGAGCGCGTGAACGTAAAAAACGACGAGCGTGCTGTCATTACGTTCGACGACCTTGTGCCCGTGCCCCCCCCCCGTTCTACGCCACTGCAGTAGTCGAGCGTCGGTTGTTTTTTCGTGAACGCGTTTTTCGCGCGACCGTCGTGCGTACGAACGCACGACCGCATAACATTACGGCGGATTGGCGGCCGACACCGCGATGGCGTGTTTGGGAATTTTTCGCGGACGGGGTCCGGCTGAATTTTCGAACACGTGTAGTAAGTGTGCTCCACATCCCCACCCAATCACTCGCTGAATTGGAAATTCAATTTGTTACAGTGCATTTAAAAAAAAAAAAAAAAAACAATAATAAAACACAAATTTCGCTATTGGTAGTCGTTTATTTTTTATTTCATCTAATCGAAATCTAATCGTTTGCGGTTTAACGGCAACTCAATGATAATTTCATCGACATCAAAACGTCCTTCCCGACGAATGGACATCGTTCGCCAGTCCGTTTCGCCTCGTCCGCGTAGTAATAAAATAAAAAAATTAACAGTTACAACTTTATACGGTTATGTTGTTATAATACATTGTAAATTTTCAAAATAATTAAACGATCACTTCATTCGTTGTTGACCGCGCGAATACGTTTTTCACCTTTTCAAGGCCCTTGCCGTTGCCGACAGTGGTCATGTGCGTTAATGATTTAACAAACGAACATACGTTTGGAAAATCGTGTTTTGGGCAGCTCACGGTGTTCGGAATACGAATACTGATAGTAGGTAAATTGACGATAAATACGATTTACATCTGTCTATAATTGTGCCGACAAAACCGAAAATCATTAATGTACGCGGTTGAGAACGGGTATCAGGCAAGTCGTTCCACGGAGGTTGTTCCTCCGGAGGCGTTTCGTCACCGATGCACCCCGTCGATTTCCGACTAGCAAGTGGCAACCGTCCACAACAATTACGATTACATTTTATGCGGTTACAGCACGGTTATTGGCACGGACGTTTAGACAGGCACGGCTCAGGTCAACGGGTGGCGGGGGGGGAGGAGAGGTCCGGACCACCCCCTCCCGCAAATACGCCACTGCCCGACGGAACCGATTTCGGGGCCGTTAAAGTGCCGACGTTCCGGAAAATCGATACGTTTATACGTACATACAGTATCCACGGAACAATTATATTGTCGTCCGCGTGTTTTGAGCAGCGCGTGTCGATGCCGTTTTCCGTCGTTTGAACTTAAAGCGAACACGACGGCGCGCGCGCAGCGATAAATTATCGCGTTCGTTTTCATTGTCCGCGGCCCGAACGGCGTAAACCATCGCCAATAAAAAAAATTCAACGCACACCGCGCGCGAACAATGGCCGCCTCGCGTTCGGGTCCTGACGGACGGGTCGCGGTTGAACCGTTCCGGAACCGTAAAATCGCGGAACGACTTCTGCCGCGCGTCGGATCTGGCGTCGCGCGCACGGCAATACCCGATGCGCGCGCAGCCGGCGATTTTCGCGCGAATATCAAACATTATCAGTGTTCGGAGGACGTTGCGCCCGCGCCGCCCGGCGGTCGGTACCGACCGCCGGGCGACGTATGCGAAAACCGTAACACTAAACGCGGAACAAGTGAAACTGGTTCGATTTCGGTTCTAGCGTTAAAAGTACCCGATACGGAACGCGCAGAGAACGACGTTTTGGTAGGAACGCCGTAAGGGTTTTCGCGGTACGTTCGACATACGCGGCTCGATTCAATCGAAACGAAAACGATTTTTTTTTCGTTTCTTGTTTTCAAATAAACCGTAACTTTTTGCGACGGTTTATAATTCGAAACACACCCGCGACGTTCCTTCCAAAATATCGTTCTCTACGAACTTCATAATCGGTGCTTTTGCTCTAAAATCGAAATGTGTTTCGAGTGTTTCTTATTCTGTGCGTTTTCGCACGTCACCCGCGGCGGTCGCACAGCAGAAAGCTCTTGTTGTAAACGCCATTTAAGAAACCCGGTAGAGATAATAAAATATTTTATTGTACAATTATTAAAAACGGTTTGAAAAACAATGTTCGCAAAGTCATGTAAGAATCGAAATAGATTCCGGGCGACCGGCCAACGAAAAACGTCACTGTCTGTTCACCAATGTCTAACACTTGCATATTGAATAAAAAAAGACCCGAACGGCAGACGCCGGCCGTCAAAATCCGGTCGTCTGTTCGGACGGGAAACGATATTACACGAATATCATTAAAGAAAACGGACAACGGCTATTCGATTGTTTTACCGTGATACGCCATGGGTACATGTACATTGTTGACAAGGCATCATTGTACATGAACTCCGCTCAGAATCGTTTTTTTTTTTTTTNCCCGAACGGCAGACGCCGGCCGTCAAAATCCGGTCGTCTGTTCGGACGGGAAACGATATTACACGAATATTATTAAAGAAAACGGACAACGGGGCTATTCGATTGTTTTACCCCATGTACATGTACATTGTTGACAAGGCATCATTGTACGTGAACTCCGCTCAGAATCGTTTTTTTTTTTTTTGATTTTTCGTTAGCAACGGTTTATCGTCGCTCGCAGACACACGCGTATACATTCGTATACGTACATCGAGTTCCCTTCGGTATCGTACACGTTTGGCGCGGCGCCCGTACCCGTCATCGCGGGACAGCTTTTGTGCGTTTACGCCGGAATTGCCGGCCGGTCGGATACGCGCATCGAAAGGTCACTACGGCCTACGGCCCGGCATTCGGTATTCGGTCGGCGTACGCGGTCCGCGACGGAAACGAAAAATAAAATCAACAAAAATCTGAAAACGGCCCGGCGACCGATCAATCCTCCGCCCTCTCGCCGCCACCACCACCCCCACCCCCCACCACGCACGCAGACGTGTACGCGGCGGCGGCGGAGGTACGGAGCGGTTTCGACGCGCGTGCGCGCGCCAATTCGTTAATTAATTTAACGTTCGATCAGAGGACGCGCGCGCACATTACCGCGGTCGTAACATTGCATTTCGGGTATGTGCCCCCCCGCGTCTCGCGCATTACAATTATGGTATTTAGGTTGGGTGTACCGCCCGCGCCGCAGCCCGTCGCGGTTCCGATATGCGCGGCGGTGCGGGTAACGCGTCAGGCGCCGCAACGACAATAACAAATAATATAAGAACGTCGCCGGTGCGCGCGCGCGTTGCCGTTACGTCACGTCGCCGTTGTTCCGTCGGCGGCACGGCGACGACACGGCAATGCCCGTCGCGCTTCCGTTCCCGGATCGCGTGGTGTGTGTGTGTGTGTGTGTGTGTGTGAGTGTGTGGGGGGGGGGGTCGTGGATCCTCCGCCGATCGTCGTGAAAATTGTTTTTGCCGTCGTTTTCGCGGTTTCGTCGACGCGCGCACGCGTTACGGGCCGCTTCTCGGCAACGGCCCGCGCGAAACGCGAGAGTGTCCGCGCCAGACCCGGGCGAAACGCCGACACGTGTTTCGGACCCGCATTAGCCCGGACCCCGCGACCCACCGGGTCTGTAATGTAAACCGCGGATTCGTTCGCGACGGTCGCTACGCCCGACGGTGTCCCGTTACAACGCCCGCCGTCCACGGCGGCGGATCGGTCCCGGCGCGGCCGCGTCTGGTTTTCGACGCGACAACGCGGAACGGACGTTCGCGCGGCGGGACCGCGGCCGCTTTCATTGCGCCAGACCGGCGAAGCGCGTTCGCGGACGCGACGGATTCGCCCGGCAGCGGACGCGGGTCGCGGCTATGGGAAATGCCCGGACGCGGCGCGTTCCGCCGCGAGTGCCGTGGACGCTCCGCGTGACGCCCGGGCGTTTCCGAGATCCGCGTGTCACCAAGGCGCGTAGCCCCCGTCCCGGTGCAAAGCCAACAATTGACCGGCAGACGGTCGGACCGAACGTTTGTTTTCAAGCGGTCACCGTTGCTGTCGTATATTTTGATTTCCGGTTGTTATTATGATTTTGTTTTTGGTTTTGGTTTTTTTCGTTCCGCATTTTTCTCGTTCGCGTCATCCGCGTACTATGGGGCAATCTACAATTCAACAAAAACAACTCGCCGAAAACGCCGGAGAAACCTCACGTCCGCCGTTTCATCACCTTCGGGTTTTATTCTCGCTACAGAAAGTCGCCCAGTTATTCCCGGTTCAGAACTACGCGTGCCCGCGCGAAGTCTCAGCTTATACCGTTCAGTAGCGTGGACGCGAAAGACTAACAGACACGCGTGCGTCCTCACAAACTCTCGCGTTCGCAGCTTTAGTAGGATTTATATCCATTTCAATTTTTTTTGCTTTTTTAATAATAATATATTCGACGGTACGTTATGCGCGTATATCGTTTATGCCGTCACGTGACGATATAATTTAACGAATCTCAACGGCCGTGCAGCGCCGCGCGTACACGATAATACCTTACGGCTTTTGATTATCGTTATTCCTTTTTTTCTTTTTTCTTTTTTTTTTTATTATCGCCGCACGTTCGTTCCCGACGAAATCCGACAGATTGATGCGTATACGAGCTGCATGATAATAATAATAATGTAGTCGCGCGCGTTTTATCTCCGGTCGTATTTTAAAAGAAATGTTTAGAATGTTTCAAACTCGCCGGCGTTTACGGATTCGCCGGAACCCCGTCAAAGGATATTTCGTTGGAAAAATGCTTTTGTTTTTTTTCGTGTTTTTTTTTTATTAACATTTTCCGTAGCTGCGGAAAACGCTCGAAACTGCTGCAATATTATCTAATTTCGCATTATGAGTACGTGCGCGCGTGATACGGTAGCGTATTATACAGAGTGTTCGCGTTTATTTGTTACAACCGAATAAACAAAAACAAAACAGACGAACATACTTCGCGCGTGGGTGCGGCCACTGTTGCGGGCGTGAACTCGGGAAGGTAGGAGATACAGACGGGAATTTAATGCATATCTGTAAACAACGATAAACCATTGAAAACGAAAAACCGATTCTGAGCGGTGTTCGGTTTGATACAGTGTTGCTTCGTCAACAATATATCTGTTATATTATGGTAAAATGGTTAAAACAATGCGCGTTTCCGTGACAACAGCGATTGTTTAAAGAAGATTATTTAAAATAATAAAAACTTAATAACAGGAAAAATTAAAAATAAAAACGGTCGCCAACGACATCCTTATTTTTTTAATCCTTCAATCTTCTCTGACCTAAATAACCAGGTTTTCCTCATTATCTCGAATATTAATGAGAATTTCAACAAAATGACTTCTTCAAAGTATCACCCGGCGAACATTTCCTTTCGGATAAAGTGCCACGGCTGATAATCGGAGTAAGGTTATCGGTAGAAAAAGTGTTCACACGAGAAAAAAAAAATAACCATAATAATAATAAACATCATTGTAAAACCAATGCATTCCGCGTTCCGCTCAGAATCTAAAATAAAAACAAATCTCCGTCTTATTTACGTACGTTTACTGCGATCGTATTATTCGAAACGCGCAGACGACATTTTATACGCGGTATACTTATTTTATTATGCGATAAAAAAAAAAAAAAAAAATACGAAAAACGCGTTAAATCTTTTTCGTAATAAAAATAGCTCTTTATTTCCATAAGGACGTTATTGAAACAAAAATATACTAATATAATATCGTAATAATGTAAAGTAGTCGTTTGAATGGTAATTAATAATTTATAATCGTTTCGCACTGCGTGCAGCATAACTTATCGGAGTAACTCTATAGCGAGCGTAAAACACCAAGTGCGTTGGAATGTAATTACCGGGTCGAGTTTTCGAATACCGCCGTGAATGTTCATAAATTATGGATTTTTAGATTCCGAACGGAGCGAGGGTTTTACACGTCGACCGATGCGTGGTTGTTTTTTTTTTTTAATTTTTTTTTTTTCGTTCTCTTCTGTAAACAAGTTATCTGCCAGAAATCTGGCTCCTGTCGTATCGACTTTAGACGTGGTTTTCCGGTAGCAAATTTTGTTTCAACAATAATTACGTACGTTCGTAGTGATATTTGTAGTGTAACCCCGTCACCTCGTACATAATACGTATACTTGTCAACGATAAAACAGTCGTAGCACACCCGTCAGCGTTCTAGTTAACGTTTTCTTCGGATATTCACCAGCCGTTTGGACTTGCAGGACCGAAGGTCGAACGAATTTCGCAAAACGGGCACGGTAATCGATACGAATCGCGTACTGCACGACGGGACCGAAAAAACACGCTAACGCCATCTCGGCTCTTGGGAAGGGACGCTGGAGAAACGTTTCTTTCGTATTTTTCGTTTGGAGGGGGGGGGAGGAAGGGCGAAAACTAAAGGCGCACAAACTGTGGAAATAATGATACAAATTCGCGCGAACGGCGCGCTAGAATATTAGCGAAATGAAAATTTGGAAAACCGTACGCGGGGTCGCCGGAGTAGTGTACGCATTCGCAAGTCGACAAAATTATGCAACACGGTTCGTGACGTATTCATACTGTACGATAGGTGGGGCGGTCTTGGTGGCAGTCTTGTGCGAGTTACTTTTGAAACCGCCGCTCATGGCATTGTACACGAGCGAAAATTGCGGTTCCCCCGGAAAAAATACCGAAACGCCCGGACGCGGACGCGAACGAAACGCAAACGCTTTTCGGGACGTGATACGCTCGCGTCGAACGTTCGGGAACGATAATTTCGGAAGCGAAAAACCGCATCGTTCGCCGCCGTAATATCCGGGAAACGGTCGTTTTTTTTTTTTCGGTTTTTTTTTTCCTATTATTATTATTATTATTATTTTTTTTTTTTTCATTACAGCGTTTACGAATCGGCGCGATATTTCGCGCGCATTGCGTATGCACGCGAAATAAAGCGTTTCGTATTTTTTACACCGGCGACGGCGTAACGTACGCGCCGAAAAACGAATTCACTGCAATCCTTGACCCGAATACCGTTATCACACACAGACGGGCCCGCTGCGGACGACCGACGAAATTACTATGTAATGTTATTGTTGCGCGCACGCATACGACGCGTGAGAAAAAAATTTCGGAAGTATATTATAGTTTTTAGTAGTTTTCTGTACGAAAATATGTTTATACAAATATAACGAAAACAATAAAATACGGACATACTTCGCACGATGAACGGGCCGCTGTTGTAGGTGGGAAGTCGGGAAGGCGTATAGGACGCATATAATGTAGAGAGGAATTCAGAGCGTATCTGTACGCGACGGTCGATATTTGCTAAACGAAAAACGATTCTGAGCGGAGTTCGGTGTACACGTTTTGAAAGGCGGTGATATTCACGATTTGAAAAGGATTTTCCCGTTTTACTTCCAGTTTTTCCCATTTATTGGGAAAATCGAAAATTACTTCCTTAATGTACCGCTCCAGCTTTCAGAAAAAGCTCTATAGTTTAAAATCGGAGCGAAATCGCCGGTAGAAAAGTTGTTCACAGATACAAAAATAAAAAAATTAACATCATTGCGAAACCGATGCGTTCTCCGTTCCGCTCAGTATTTAAAACGGATATAGTATTGGGCGTACAATACTAACAGGCAAACCCGTATAAAGTCGTCGAGTAAATAAATATTCACGTGGCCGTATAACAGTTTACGGAACAATTACACTCTTATACGAGAACTACACGCTATCGTATTTCAAATATTTTTCGAAAGTATTTGTATTTGAAATCGAATACTTTTAAATTTGTTTTCTTCCGCAGGTATGTGTTTGAAATAATAATCGCGTCGCGTTACACCGCGATATGCCATAACAGATAAGTGAAACGCGGAATAAAATGTTCAACTTGTATTCGGTATATCAAACGAATTTTATAATTTCATAGAAAAAAAAAAAAAAAAAAACGTATTTACGAATCCACACTTCAAAACCGTTCGTGTTCGTAATACACCCGAATATTTTGGCGTCGTTGTTGTCGATGTGGTGAAGTGATCGAATAATGGTATACACTCGGGGTCCGAACGCGTTTTTAAATAATTTATCCGCGTTTAATAATCGCAATATACTTTCGAAAACTAACGGCAGAACGTCGGCGTTTAAAAAAAAAAATTAACAAAGTTTTACCAGAAAAAAAAAAATAAAAAAAAAAAACTCTACTTGTATCCGATACCCGTGCAGTAGCTGTACACACTCCCGGTGCTATTTTATGCACCGCGTAATCGGCACGGCGAAAAACCGCGGCGCGCTCGGCGTACACGTCATAAATAATTGGCGTATATTTTTTTTTTTTTTTTTTTCAGAATCCGACGACGGACCAGTTAAAAAACGGTCGCCGTCGAAGAATCGGCCGCGTTTCAATGCGGTTGCGCGGTCGCGCAGTCCCGCGGGCGGCCTGGCAGAACGCAATCTCCGATTTAAACGGCCCGGCGGATTAGCCCGAGGACGGAGATCCGGACACCAATAACTCGGCGTTACGCGCGTCCGACTCGTGTACCGCGACACTGTCAGGTACGCCGTTGCGTTCGGACGGTTACCGACGAACAGTAACGGCGACGTGGACGACGGGACGTTGGAGATTAGGGCGCGGATTTATCACACGCATTTGCGTGTTGTTTATTTGGTTTTTCTTCTTTTTTTTTCCCCGGACTGTCCAAAAAGCGGCCGGATAAGCTACAAGTCCGAATTGCGCCCGGTTCAATAGAAATACGAAATCGTGATTCGCGTGTGTCGTCGTTTTTCGACGCGCACTGCATATTTCCGATTTTTTTTTTTTTTTTTATTGCACCTTATTGTCGAAAACCTAAGTGTTTCGAACCCGTTATGAGCCCGGCGGTAAATTAAATACACGTCGAAATTCGGCACTCGCGAAATAACGGTACTTCTGTGATATTGTTCGGGCTGGTGCGAAATCGAATGTCTGAATTTCGTCCCCAGGGTGACGTAGTTACGTTTGAATTCTTGAAGTAGTAATTTAAAAACGAGTGTTTGTTCCCGACATACAAGTGCTTTTTAGCCTATGAACACAAAAACATTTTTAAGCACGCCAGCAGAGCTGCCAGTCCTAAGCCTGGAAAAAATGTAAATGTAAATGCCACTTGTTCATACTTTTTAGAAAAAAAAAAAACGAGGGACGAAATTCAGACGTAGTTGCTTCATTTCCGGGACGGAATTCGAGCAATTTACCGGCTCGGGGCGAAATTCGAGAACTGCTATTGTTTGTAATCAGTTTAAAATTCAAAAGTTCAGACAACGAAAATATGGCGCACGTTCAATTAATGACTTTTTTAATATAATTTCGAGCGAAAAGCAATAAATTCTACACGAATTGGTGCAATACCAACGCAATAGTCCGTTTACTAGATCCGGAAAAAAACACCGGCGATAATAACTTGTCTGGTTCAACCGAATTCTGAGCGAGACAAGTGCCATAGATAAAATATGGTTTTTGTATTTCTCTGAAAAAAATTTCGAAAAGTGGACTTGTCTTGTGGTTGCATTGAACCCTTCAATTTGAGAGAGAATAAAAATGATTTTAACATAAAAAGAAATCATTTTTTTTTTTTTTTTTACATTACATATAGTATATAATACAGGTATTTAATATTTGTACTCGATTTAAATTTTTTTTCAATAATACACGTGTTTAAAATATTTTTTACAGGACTGTACTGAATACAATATCATTTAAAAATGTCTTTGTACGAGGACCGATTTGTTAATGTTATATTTTTCGATATGATATTTCGCCAGCGGACTAGTTTGTGTTTTTTTTTTTTTTTTTTCAAGTAATTCGGAATTGTTAATTATTGTATCGCATGCACTTTTGTTTACCAGAATATAAATAATAACGTTTTGTTTTTGATTGTTTTTTTTTTTTTTTTTATAAATATTATACGACTTGGGACTTGCAAAATAAAAAATATGCCAGCGGAAAATTTAATCAATTAGACGCCTGCTATGTCGCGGGTACGAACTGCACGCATATATTATATTATAGCTTCCGCGGTAAAAAAAAAAAACCACGATGACCCGTTTTTGATTAGTCTGTACGGTTTTTTATTTTTATTATTTTTTTTATATACACAGTTTTTACATTCGGTTTCTGCGAAGTGAAAGTCTATCCGAACGCGATTTTCGTTTATTTGTTTACGCACTCTCGTACCGCTGTATAATATTATCGTAATATTATTGTGACGGCCGTCGGACAAGCGACGGAACGGCCGCCGTTGTAGTCGTAATATCGGCCGTTTGTATCTAAACTATTGTACTCGCGTACAGCGCAGACAGGCTCCCGGATCAAGACATCCGGAGGACCCGGGGCCAAACTTTGCGACGAGGCTCTCGTCGGGGAAGACCATGTATAGCACGCGTTTGTAAACGAAACGTTTACCGATCAAAATGCGTTTCGACGAAAGAAAAATCATAAACAGCACTGCGCGTACATATAGGTCGTATAGGTGCAAAAGCCACGAATATCATCGAAACAAACGAGTCGGGAGGTACGTGTTAAAGTTTTTTTCAACAGAGTCGCTACAGCAGTTTCTGTACCGTAATGCACAACAATACGGACGACGGAAAACCGTTAAACTATATCGGTGCACGCGACGTTATTAACGCGCGCGCACAGAACGCGCTGCGGCAGAAACCCGCGCCCGCCCCCGGAAGTCCGGCCGCCCGCTCGGCCGCGGCCCTCCCCGAACCTCCCCCCTTAATCCCGGGCTCGCGGCCTCCGTCTCCGAAACCGATGTCCGCCCGTAGCGCGCGGTTAAACGACAAAAAGAAAAAAAAACAACCTGTATAAAAACATACGTGCGCCGCGGCATAACGCGCGATTTCCGCAGGGTTTCGCGCGTTATGCCACGGCGTACGTCGCGTTTCAGCGCGGTCCGCTCGGCGACGACGGCCGTGGTTTCGCGTGGACAATCCGAAATTATGATACGATACGATAACGGGCGCGTTTCGCCCGTTTCGCCCTCGACAACCGTTTAAACCGATACGAATTGTACGCGGTCGATTAACGGATATTTCGCCGAATATTGGTAATAATTTCCCGCACGCAATGATAATAACCATACGCGCGCGCGTGCGCTCGACCGCCGCGGTGCGCGACTGCCGTACGCCAACGCCCGCGTTCGCAGTACGGCCGGCGTGTAGGTACCGAACGCGGCCGCGAACACGCGGATCTCCGGCGCGCGGAAAACTGTTCCGCGGTCGGTTCGGGTCGGTCTACGCGTTTAAATGCGCCGCGCCCGTATACGCGACACGAATGGACGCACGTGATACGATTGTCGGCTATGAAATCCGCTAATCGACTGGTAAACGGATTGATTACCTCTTTGGGTCGTTTTCCGGGCGCCGGATTAATAAGCGCTCTTAAAAACTACGGGGGAAAAAAGGTCAAAAAGGTTTAAAAACTAAAAAAAAAAAAAAAAAAAAAAACGGTGTTCATTTTCGCAGCGTTAGAAAATTGTATTTGGAAAAAACAAGTGGATTATAAACACTTTGATATGCGAAAGTGATCGCTAATCACACTAATAATGAAAGTGTCCCGGCGTGGTAAGGAGGCAGTTTTTCGAAAAACTATTAAGACAAAATAATGACAAGGATCGATAATTCACGATCCGTGATTTTCGTTCAAATAAAATGGAATACTATGTAAATATTACTTATCATGTTTAACAATGTTGTAAAACCGCTTCAACCGTTCCTTTTCGCAAACCACGTCTGGTAGGATTTTATTTCGTGTGCAGTATGTTATTAATTTGCGACCGGACCGCGGTCATATCATTTTCGGAAAACTTTTTATCACTGCCCGTATCCCGTGTCTATTATTTCGGATCATCTACCTACGAAGCGCATATTGGCAATGATTAATAAAATATCCGTGCCAATGAATCTAAACGTAGAAAATACGCATTCCCGATTAATCGATTATTTCAAAACCATCGAAAACAAATCAACTGAATCGACCAATCGGAATAATCGCAAACAGCCATCGTGATTATAATTATTTACCTATACCCGAATTTTCCATATTTTTTAACGCAGGGAAAACGAAACATCATTGTCGATAAACGAATTGCGAATAGCTTTTTGGTTGGAAAAAAAAAAAAAAAACGAACGCTTACTAAACGCTTTTTTAAATCCACTCGGCGGTTAAATTTAGATTCTGGTTTCCGAACGGGAATATAATATAAAATAATTTATATTTATAGAATATTCCGCACGCTATAATATTATTATAACGGCGATGATGCGCTGTATTTTATTTTCGTATTGCATTAGATTGCCAATATGTGCCAAATGTTTTTGTACGGTTGTATTGTCTGTGAATCCATTGCGTTTCCCGCCAACAAAAAAAAATAAATAGAGTTGCCGTTTTCCTCTGCCGTCGCCGAATCCCACCGTTTCCCTCCGAAATCGTACGGAACCGTCAACCACACCCGCGATGGTTTATATTTTCGCCTGAATACATTTCATATTCCGTTCGAAAATATTCTTTCCGGATTATCGACGTGAGAGCGAATCGGAGATGTCGATTATGTAATTTAAAAAAAAAAAAAAAATTATAACTTCCGATGCGCAAAAATTTCATTGCAATTATAACTTGGGTACGATTCTATAAATGCTCTACAAAACAAGAAAAATGCCTTAAAAAATACAATCCAACGCACTTCCATAAGAAAAAAAAATCCAAAAAAAGGTTAAAAAATTGCCCTAAACATTGTTTTAAACGTTGAAAAGACCGCATTACGACTTCGATAAATAGCTTATCGTTTTCTTCATTGCAGCCGGCGTGGTATTTATCTGGTACAATCCGTTAAATGTCCGTAATACATTTTAAACACGTAAATATAAATTTTTTTTTTCCTCGTCATGGGGAAATCGGAATAAATTGTATACGATTTTCCGACAACACTGTGAAGTTTGTAAAACGAATAAAAACGTTTTAAAAATCTAAAAGTGCACACATAAATTGCATAAAAATGTGAAAATTGCAAAATAAAAGTTTCGCGTTTTAATTCTTCGATACGTGAAACGAGTTTTGTGCTCGGAAAGCGTGACTTTAGGACGTTTAAAAGAAAAAAAAAAAAACCGCAATACGCGTTGTAATCCGCACCCTAATTACAATATGATATCATGCCAGTACGTGTTATCGATTCGATGTCGACCGGCACGTTGAAAATGACGACAACGTAACCGTAACTTTTTTTTGTAGGCATCCGTAAAGTGCCGCGGCGTATTCCGCGATAACCGCGTCGGTACGTGATAATCCCTAACAGATATTTTTTTTTTGATGCAAATCGAAATTGTTTTTTTTTTTTTTTCACATCGATTAGAATAATACCTTTAGAAAACATGTTAATTATTATTATCGCGCGGGTACGCCGCCGGTCGCGCGGTATCGTCGGACCGTTTAATCGGCCGCAAAGTTCGACCCGACGATTTCCGTGTGCGGTGGGGGGGCGGGTGAGTGGGAGGGGGAGGGGCTCGACCCGGTTGTTGCTCTATAACAATATTATATATAGGTAGGCATAATACGGGCACGCCGGCGGTATTCTCGTTCCATTATCTTCTTTCCTTCCTTCGCCCCCACCCCCGGCACCGTACCGTCCCCTCTCCCGGTGCTGTGTCTACCGCCGACACGCTGAATTATCGTGAGCGCGCGCGCGCGCGTACGTGCGCGTGTGTGATTTTTCCTTCGCCGCCTAGGTTATTATACATTATAATAACCGGCTGTATACCTACGAGCATATCATAATAATAATAATAATATAATACCCATTTCCACCAAGGCCAGAACAACAACTGTTTGTCGTAACGCGTATATTATATTGTACAACGCACGGCTATTATGCGTACGCTTTGTGTAATATTGTGTTTCGTCGGATCGCACCGATGACGAGTGACGTTATTAAAAAAAAAAAAAAATAAATAAATACCGTATATATAATGTACCCATACGTGCGTCAATTATCCCGGACGGTACCGACGACGACGACGACGACGACGACGATAATACCCCGTCTCCGTCCATCCGCTGTCCGGTCTGAGACCGCGAGCCGCTCGAAAAATGGATTTTTTTATTCCGACGGCGCGGTTTACAGATTTAACGGGTTGTTACGGGCCGACCGCATACAATTGTGAATCGCGCTTTTTCTCGCGGTAAAAGTTCGCCGGTTCCGAAATCTCGCCCGGAACACAATATCATATCACGATAGTCTGTAAAACACGTGCTCACCGATTAACCGTTGTGCCCCGTGCGCGTACGCACCAAATGCGCCTGTCCAAACCGACGAGCGCTTGTGTACGATGACGAGGACTGTAATAATATAATTATAGACAATCGATTTTCTTCGTGTAGACCATCGATTACTCGGTCACTCGATCGGGCGCACCCGAAACGGGCGTTGAGCGTTGGGTAGCGCGACGGTATTGGCACTCGTCTAAACAAATTAAAAACAACACTCGATCGATTAATTGGATTCATACGGATACAGAGTCGGGCGATTACAGATTTCGTATTGTACACTGAGAGCTAAAAGTATTCAATATTGATAGGTTATTTGAATGCTCGCGTCTTCTCGGTTCTAGTTTTACGCCAAGCGTTTTACTCGTTTCTTCTCAACGATTCGTGTCGAGTACAATGTATTGATGTACACC